TTTGAGAGATAATAGGGGAGATACACTGCTGTTCAATTAAATGTAGTCATCTTATGAATATCTGTTATACTTAGTAAAAAAAAGTCCAATAAGTTATTTTCTTTGTAAAGTTTATTTTATAAAAATGAATGTTCTAAACTTGTTTTGTTTGTTTTTTCCCTTTCCTTATAGATATTAAAGAATTTGAAACCAAAACACGAAGTACTGTGTCAGTCCGAGAAGGTCAAGGTGTGGTGCTTCTCTGTGGTCCACCACCACATGTTGGAGGTATAGTGGGGGTAAATGTGATCATACTATTAAGGCTATCATACTGATGGATTAAATTGTATCTCCTAATAACATATGTTAAGGACCAGTACTTGAGAAAGGGACCTTGTTTGTAAATAGGACCTATGAAGATGTTGTCAATTAAGTTACTGAGATAAAAACCACTGCCATTGAATAAATTCCAACTCATAGTGACCCTATATGACACAGTAAAACTCCTGATTTGGGTTCATATTTTTCCAGTAGCAAAAACAAAAACCCAAACTCAAAGTTATTGCCATGAAATCAATCCTTATTCATAGTAGAAAGTCTCATCTTCCTCAAGTGGAGTGGCTAATGGCTTTGAACTGCTGACTTCGTGGGTAGTAGTCTGATGTGTAGTCTACTGCACCACCTGGGCTCCTATGGATAGTCTCACATTTTTTCCCACAGAGCAGCTGGTAGGTTCAAATTGCTGTCCTTGTGGTTAGCAACAAACATATAACCCACTATACCAGCATTTAGAAGCCAAGAAAAGCCAAAAACTACCCAAAATTAGGAGAGACAATCAGTGAAAACTTATCAGGTTCTTCTTATGGCATCAAAACAGTCCTATACACAAGTATTTTATTAAAACATTTATTCAAACAACAATTAAGCAAATATTTTCTTGAAGAAGTGTAGTCGCTCTATACACACACTGAATATTGATGTTTAATAATGAAACTGACTCTTGCCAGAATCTGATATTGAGCCCTACAAGTTATATGGCAAAGAGCAATCTACTGAACCCCTTTTGGACTCAATTGTCTCATCTATAAAGTTGATATATCTACAAATATCTTTCTCAGATAAAACTGTTGAAAATGGTAAATGAGCTGAAAAATATTAGCTGATAAAGTGCCTAGTCCTTTTTTCTTAAATAAGAAAGCTAAGGTTATGGATTAATTTGCAACAGTGGACTCTTTGGGAAGGTAAATTTCATTACCTACCTTGGAAACTTCATAGGAACTATTGAAAGAGAAAGAGAGTTATTTATTTGAAGCAAATTCCAGATGGCAATGAATCAGTGTATCTACTAAAATGATGGAAATCAAGA